CCTCCTGCAGAGCTCTTACCCCTCAGGTTGCCAGAAGGGAACTGCCAGCCAGGCTCTGGCCTGGCTGTTTATAAGGGCCCGGCCCTGCCCCCTTCTGGTCACGTGACCACCCTGGTTGCTCCAGCAACCCGCACCTGAGCTGCCCTGGTGATTGGCAGCTCGGCCCATACTACCACCGCCAGTAGCAGGCACCCTGGTGCCCTGCTACACATATGAAGTTCATGTAGTATCTAGGAGGTCTGTATCATGGTCCACCGGGACATACAGCTCAGTGGGTACAGAATTGCAGGGGCAGCAGTCAGAAGCTGAGTCAGGAACCAAATGCCAAGCCAGGGTCAGGATCTGAGAATCAGAGGCCTAGTTACCAGATCTGAGGGACAATCCACAGGGCGAGGTCCAAGAACAGAGTGAAATCCAGGTCAAGAAGCAGATCTGCATGGAAATCCATGGCTGAAATCCAGGAGCAAGCCAAATGCAGGGTCAAGATCCAAGAAAGCTAGAGAAGTTGCCAGGACAGAAACTAGTCAGAGATGGGAGACCACGAAGTTGTGCAGTAAGGCTTGGGTACTGGAAGGTTCTTTAAATGCATCCCCAGAATCAATTGGAGGGAAAGGGCTCAGGTCAGCTGGCCTTCCTTAGTTTATAAGTGAGGCTTACACACTTACAAGGGAAGCTGGGCCTTACACAGCTGACCTTGTTACCCAGGGTGCAAGGCAGGGGCCTTACAATCTGGGGCTGAAGCTGAGCACATATGCCTACAGAATAAGCATTACGAGCACCTGTGTCTAGGTGTTCCATATGTCTGGGGGAAAACAAAATGGCGTAGGATGATTTTTTTCTCTTAACCATGTGCAAATAATTTCACTTGAATCTACTATGAGCTGCATGTATGGGTAATATGTAGAGCTAGCATTTGGCCCATGATGTTTTCAAATCAGCAGTACAATGATAACATAATCCCATTCTTCCCCTCCTCCCTGTACTCCAAAAACAAAGCTGATAAAGTTTCACATGCCTGCACGTGCACAGATGCCTATACCCAACACACACACACACACACACACCCCTTGTTTTTAAAAGCAATGCCATAAGAAGTATGTGATGAGGTAGTTACATTTTGTGCAGCCATGAGTTGCAGACAGGGCTGGCATATATACCCTCACAGTTTGGCACGTTTAGAATGTATTTACACGTGCTCTTGAGATAGGTAGGTGCTTTAATTAGAACAGCTCTTGGGAACCACTGTAATTAAAGTGCCCAGAGTGTCTCATGTATTCAACATGCTGCACTTCCAAATTGTGGCGGGGGGGCTTTAACTAAAGCTCATTTGATTAACTTTAGTTAAAGCGCCCCCACCACCATTTTGAAGTACGAGGATGCTGAATGCATGAGACACCAAAGCTACTGGAGCATGCTAATTAACACGCTCTAGCAAACTCAAGTAAATGAGTCTGCTGTGACGTGCTGTAACTAAAATGTGTCAGAGCAGGCACCCCACATATCTACAGGCACCTTTGTTGGTTAATTTAATTCATTTTTTCATTCCATCTTATAAAACAAGATGATTTCCTGAGCATCGTGGGAAACTGGTACCTTGTCATGTTCTGTGTTATCAAAACAAGATTTTAAAATGCTTCCCCTCCCACTATTCCTTTTCATTTCATTAAGAGACAGCATCCATGACACCGAAACCATGTTTGACAGTGAAGGATTTAGCTGGGTTACCCATTGGGCAATATCTGGTACTGAAGAATTGCAGGCACATCTGCTTGACAGGTTTTTCTGAACCAGAAGTTGAACTCCATTGTGAATCTAAACATTTTTAAATCAATGAACAAAAAAACCTGGGTTTCTCTTAGTTCATCAATCTTGTTTTGTGACTGGTCACTTTATCAGTTGCTTAAATATGATTTAAAATCACAGCAAATATTGATGGAAAGGGCTTTGTGAAGTCACTTAGTCCAACCCCTCCTTTGCTCAAGTGTGGACCCTTTGCCTTAACCTGCTCTTAAAAGTTTCCAAGGATGGTGATTCCACAGCCTCTCTAAGTTAGCGTGGAAGCATGTGCATTGTGATAATTATGACTCTTCCATATTGTAAACAAATGCTACAGCAAGTAATGGGTCTGTCAGTCTTGCAAATCTTGTGCTGACATTTTTTAATGGAAGTAAAAAAATCAAACAAAAAAACCCAAGACCTGAAAAATGAGTGTCACCGTTTATTTTTATTCAGGTAGAGGAGCTGCTATGTAATTTGAACAGCATCTTATCAGATACAGTAAAAATGAGGGAGTTCCAGGAAGACCCAGAAATGCTCATGGATCTCATGTACAGGTGAAACCTCTTAATACTGTTGCTGAACCATTTCAAAAGGAAGCAAACACAAAGGCCGTTGAGTCTGTTACCCCCAAACACGTCTTTACTGAGAAGCTCTCCAGGTGCCCAGTACAATACCTATTTATGATCTAACATACAAATTGCAGGAATCATTTGGGTATGATTTTTATAAACAAGGGTTTTAATTTCACTGTTTATGCATAAGGCAATTTGTAAGCAATTCTGGAGGATGTTATGTTTGGGAGTAGGGGGGCTCTCCCCTTTCAAATGTCTCCTCAAATCTATTCTAAACCTGTTTTTGTTAGAATTGCTAAAGGGTATCAGACTTCCCCTGATTTGAGATTGACCTGGCTACAGAACATGGCAGAAAAACACACCAAGAAGAAGTGCTACACGGAGGCTGCTATGTGCCTGGTCCATGCTGCAGCTCTGGTTGCCGAATACCTGAGCATGCTGGAGGATCGCAAGTACCTGCCAGTGGGTAGTGTCAGCTTTCAGGTAGGAATATAATTCATAGCTGTGCAGACTTATTTTATGTTTTTCTCCAAGTGATTGGTTACTGTATGTTATATAGCACAAGGTCAAGGCCCTGCGGGCCTCCAAGATATACATCTGTTTGATGAAGAGTCCTTATTTTATAATTTTATTCTAAGGCCTGTAAGTTAGTGTTTAATCAATTTAGTATGTGCTATATTAGCTTTATATCATTTTAGTTCATTATTATAAATAGTATTGCAATATGGAGTCAAATACCACACAGAAACCTAATTATATTGCATCATATTATTATTGTGTATTTGTTTGTTTGTTTGTATCAATCAAATTTTAAATATTCTAACATATGATTTTATATTCTAAAAATAACTTAATGGGACCATTTTTCCATACATCTGAATCAATCAAAATGAATTACGTTATCTTTCTTTAATTGAAGTCTTATATCTTATATCATCTGTTCCATTTTTTTTGTCTGGAATTATAGCCGATAGCTGACAAACATATAGTATGTAAGGTCATTCTGTTTACCTTTTTAAAGATATTGCCACTATAATATACTTTTTCAAGTCCTCTGAAAAGCAGCATTAACTGATGTTGTCTCCTTGATCAGCTCTTTTAAAACTCGCGATGCAAATTATCTCAATTGGCTGATTTAAAAATGTCTAACTTCAGTATCTTCTATTTCACATTCTCCTTAAATATTGGTAAATAAATAGTTTCATTGGCCTTGTGTATAAATACATCATCCATCCCCGCCCCCCATATCCAAAACAGAAATATTTATTGAATGCTTTTGCCTTTCTCTGTTTTTAAGAATTCTGCATGGTCCATCTGGTACTGTATCAATCATAATCAGCAGTCCCTCAATATGAAGATAACAGTACTGTATCAATGGCACTACTAGAACTCAATTTTTTCCTATTCTACGTAAACACCTCTTTCGCTGTCTTTTTATTAGCTGCTTCTGAACTCTGATTCCCTTATTTCTAACTTATATTAATTGCCTTCAATTTCTCCTGTTTTTCCATTTCGTATGTTAGCTTTAATAGTGTTGTCACTATTTTTTAAACCATGCTGTTTGGGTTAGCCTAGATGCTCACAATTTGGCACATTCCATAGCTAATCAAATTTCTCCTATTAATTCATTTTCTCTCATGCTGTTCCCAATTCCTAGAGTCATCTCTATCTCCAGGTGTACTCTTTCTGGACTGTAGGAAGGCCTTCAACACTGTCTCTCACCTCATTCTCATTAAAAAATTAGGCAACTGTGGCGTCAATGCCTACACAGTCAAATGGGTGGCAAATTGGTTTGAGGGCCGCACCTAGAGAGTGGTGGTGGATGGGTCATTTTTGACCTGCAGGGACGTGGACAGTGGGGTCCCCCAGGGCTCAGTCACTGTTCAACATCTTCATCGGTGACTCGGATGAGGGGGTGAAAAGCACCCTGTTCAAATTCTCAGATGACACGAAGATGTGGGGAGAGGTGGGCACGCTAGAAGGGAGAGACAGGCTACAACTAGATCTGGACAGGTTACAAGGGTGGATGGATAAGAATAGGATGGGATTCAATACTGACAAGTGCAAGGTATTGCACCTAAGCAGGAAGAACCAGCACCATACCTACAGGCTGGGGAACTCTCTTCTTGTCAGCACAGAAGCAGAAGAGGATCTTGGAGTCATTATCGATTCTAAAATGAACATGGGCCACCAGTGTGAGGACACGGTCAGTACAGCTAACCGCACCTTGTCATGCATCCACAGATGCATCACGAGCAGGTCCAAGGAGGTGATCCTCCCCCTCTGTGCGACACTGGTCAGACAGCTGGAGAACTGTGTCCAGTTCTGGGCGCCACACTTCAGCAGGGAGGTGGACAGCATTGAGAGGGTCCAAAGGAGGGCCACTCGCATGATCAGGGGGCAGCAAGGCAAGCTACAGGACCTGAACCTGTTCAGCCTCCACAAGAGAAGGCTGAGAGAGGGTCTAGTGGCTGTCTATAAACTTATCATGGGGGGATCTGTGGGGAACGGGACAGTTCCTGTTCCCCCAAGCACTACCAGGAGTAACTAGGAATAACGGCCACAAGTTGACTGAGAGTAGGTTCAGGCTAGATATCAGAAGGCACTACTACACAGTCAGGGCGGCTAGGATCTGGAACCAACTTCCAAGGGAAGTGGTGCTCGCTTCTACCCTGGGGGTCTTCAAAAAGAGGCTGGACAATCCCGTAGCCGGGGTTGTTTGACCCCAGCATTCTTTCCTGCCCATAGCAGGGGGTCAGACTTGATGATCTGCTCAGGTCCCTTCCAACCCTACCAACTATGAAACTATGAAATGATGAATGTTTTATGTAGTTCTTATGTATGGGTATTATTGTAGTTACTTTGAGCAACTGAAGGTTCAGCTACACGGCACTAATCCAAACCAATTAACCTAGATTATTCGGAGGTAATGATTTAGGCCATATAGCTTCACTTCCTGCACTGCTTGCTGTAGTTTGTGGGCACACCTATACACATGCAGCTAATGTGACTGAATATACTCCAGCTCAGTTTGAGCCAGAGTAAACTAATCCTGACATCTCCATCTACCTGTGTGTTTAAGCACAGTAATTTCCTGCATTGCCAGATACCACTTGTATTTGGTGGGACTATCCAGTAGCACAGTAAATTAGTCTACTGCACCCTAATTGTGTGCGTGTGTAAATGGTGATGCTTTTCTGTGCAGCAAATTAGTCTGCTACACCATAAAGTGTCTCATGTAGACACGCCCAGTTAGCATAGAACACAGCATTTAGTTGCTAGAAGGAAGTATATGTACCTCCAGTATATATCTAATTTTTAAATTAAATTTGGGATGCTTCAGAATAAAAGTTAATAATAATATTGCTGAATGAATAGTTCCAATCTGAGATATATTATCTCTCTCAGATATAAACCTTTTAGCTGAATGATTATAGCAGCAACAAAACATGGCAAGCAAATCACCTTGCCCATTTGCAGCTCATGTTTATGAATTGACTGAGCCGTATAGAAAATAATCCAAATGTAACAAACTCTTCTCCTATTGATGTTTGCTCTCCCTAACATATAACTCAATTTCATTTTTTGAATAATCTGCCTACCTCTCCTGTGTGCTAAAAGAAGACAGTGCAGTCTAGGATTTCTACCATTGTCTGGGAAAATTGATCCCTTATCTTGGTATGGATGCCTGTGTGGGTGGAGTCATTTGGTATGAAATCTTGTCTCATTTATTGGGGTAGAATTAATTAGGCTTAGCAAATCTAAATAATGTCTACAAGCATCCCAATTGAATATGCCTGTCTTGTCAAAAGATTTGCATGTGCACACATTGCTCTGCAGAAGAAAGATTATGACAAACTTTAGCTTCTTTCCCTTCTCCACCCTCATAAAAAAAAAAAAAACCTCTCTATTACATAGCCTCTCTCTTACATTTACCTGAGAATGTAACTGGGACTTCAGTTTGTTCAGTAATAATAATTAACTACAATAATACTTTGTGCTTTTACAAAACCTTTCATACAAGGCTCTCTCAAGTGTTTTACAAAAGTTACTCAAGATTTGCAACACCACTGATGTGTAAGGTTAAGATAATCTTGTGAGTAAGAAACTAAACTGGTCCGACTGTCTGGGTTTTGCGTGACCCTGAGCAAGTCAGTCCCTGAACTTCTCGGAGGACATCTCCTTTTCTGTAAAATTGATCAGATAATACTTCTCTGATCCAGGGCTCTATTTAATGAATGTTTATTTGCGCTTTGAACTGTTGGATGGAAGGGTCCATAAAAAGGTAACAGCATAGAAATATTGATGTAGGAAAGTGATTCCATTATCCTCATTTTAAAGATGGGAGATTATGCTAATGAGAGGTTATATGATTTAACTCAAATCCTCTACAAAATTACCAGTTTTATTCTCAGCCTAAATAATTATTAGGGTCCTGTGATCTCAGGAAGTCTGGGATTCTGTAGCTTATATTCCAGCTATGGAACTGGATACAGTTGCCCAAACTTCTGCCTCCATGCTAACATATTTGGAAAAATCTGAAATTCCTAGATACAGCAAGTAGGGAAGATGCACAGAATTCTTTTAGACCAAAGCAAAAGCTTATAGACCTAGGTAAATGGGATGTGTCATACAGGGATTTAGCAACACAAACCCGAGAAATAGATAGTAAAGATAGGAGTCAGATGCTACAGTTCTTAGACAGTTAAAACCAGGAAGTGGGATATTTTTTTTTCTTTCTGGAAAGTTATTGAAAATTTAGAGCCAAAGAACAGATAAATTGGTGGCTGCAAGTTCCTTGGCTTCCTCTTCCAGATAAATCACTGCTCAGAATTCTCTTTCCCTTGTCACAAAAAGCGCTCATAAAAGGCAGCAAAACTCCCAGTTCTAACCATCCTGTGGAAATGCTTAGGTTCCTGGGATGAAAACCGCAGTGCAGTTGTTAGCTAAATTGTAACCTCTTTGGAACAAAGATTATCTTTCTGCTGTTCTCTGAGGCTGTGAACCGTGGTTATAGCTTCTAAAAGCTCCAATATTTCAAATAAACAAATGTGAAGTACAGAATGGAATTCAGCACAGTCTGTGTACGTCTGCCCTGAATACAGATGTGGAGGTTAGACCACACTGACATCTATCTCTTCTCTGATAGCGGTACCCAAATTAGCTAAATAGATAGCTAGCAAGGATATGTCTATGTACAGCAGTTACGTGGACTGTACCGTAGACGTAATCCCAAATAAGCTATTCGGTTCCTTCCTTTTAACTTTTAGGTGAAGCTTAAGTGATAGCTAGGCCTAGTCCTGGTACGTAACACTGAATGAATTTAACCCACTAAGTGATAAAATTGCCTCCAGCAAGCTGCAGAATGTAAAATGTATCCCAGAATATAGAAATTCTACACAGCTTCTGATGTGAGATGATGGCTCTTTTTTTCAAAGTCAGTAGTGGTACTCAATGTCTCTGCCATTTTAGAAATACGTCTTTCAGAAATCAAATTGTCAGCCTGCTGGCATTTATCTGCAGCTGAGATGGATTTTAATTGCTACTTCATGGTAACAATAAGACCCCAAGTTAGATAATTTTTATAAAAGACAGATTTTAAAACTTGCTATTGAAAATTACTGGAGTGTCTTCAAATGCGTTTTTGCGTGGGCACTTACATATAGGTTGCTGACAGACATGAGGGAAAAAAAAGCACACACTTTACCAGAAGAAGCAGCACATTAGTTTGACCCGGCTCTGAGTATCTAGATGGATTGGGTGCTTCAGCAGGGCTTTTTGGTGCTTTTACCTAATAGCTGATTCACTCAGTTATTGGATAAAAGCAGCCCAAAAGCCCCATTAAAGCACCCGTCCTATACAGATGTTCGGCGAGCTGGGCTTGGCATGGGGCTGAACAGAACTTAAAGTAATGTGCCGTTTTTTTGTTTTTTCTGGGGGGGGGGCGGGAGGGAGGTTGTTATGTCCGTAAGCAACCATATTTGTGTACGTGTATTGTAAATGCTAACGTGACTGAATCTGTATTTATGTAGTGCTTTTCTGCCAAATGGGTCTAAAGAACATTTTACTTAGTGGCCCAACAGATCCAAATAACTGATTCTGTAGATATCCCACAGGAGAAACCTATTTAATGGGAAACATTTCTGAGTAAATACTTCTGTATTAGGAGGTAATATATTAAATACAATAAAACAAATGTAAAGAATACTGAGACTGAGAAATACATTGACAAATTCAGATAACATGGAGTCTCCATTGCATTTTTTTTTCTACACCTGAATAAGGTGGACCTCCAGTTAGCTCACACTACCCCAAATGGTTTGCTTTTGGGCTGAGGTTTGGTGTTAAAGGTTTCTGCCCAAAGGCAAATACTGAGGAAGGGATTACAAGCAACTGAAAAGGGAGGAATGATTGTTAGAACAAAAATGAACACCGTGCCATGGGAATCCTCAGCTCACCAATAAAACATTTGTGTGTGCAAGTCCAGCCTAAAGAGGGCACCTCTGTGACTGGTGGGAAGTTGGGCTTCCAATTATGGAGGTGGGAATGGACAGCTGGGATTCTGGTGACAAATCCCTCAGTCTCCACTGGTTGTGATTTATAATATTATGAAAGCTGCTTGAATCCTCTAGCTGTACTCCAGTGTTATCTCTGTTAAGCTTACCATGCTGAATTGGGCCCTGACTGAACCTTGGTGATAGCCCGATGGCTTTTTGCTCTCATTTATTTCAGAATATTTCCTCCAATGTGCTGGAGGAGTCTGCCATTTCAGATGATATTTTGTCCCCTGATGAAGATGGGATATGCTCTGGGAGGTATTTCTCAGAGAGCGGCTTAGTGGGACTGTTGGAACAAGCTGCAGAGCTGTTTAGCACGGTGAGAGAATGGGGAGGCCGGGCCAAAGAAACACTTTTAGAATGGCATTGAAGAGAGAGAAGTTATACCAGGGAAGATTTTGACTATTGAGCCAGACTCGCTCCTACCTCACATTCTTGTGAGGGGCTCCAGGGCATGGGGTAGATACACAGCAAGGAAAAGAGGGCCAATATTCAGCCAGGGCTCCATAGGACCCTTCCCAGGGTGGGCTGTTGACCTGGCTCTGCTTGTCCAAGGTTTGCTGTGTCCCCTTCTTATGCTAACACTAGTTGTATCTGTGCCCACTTTTTGAAGGTAGGTTGCAGGCAGCTGGTGTTGCTGCTTCCCCACTACAAGCACACTCCCCACTGGTATGGGCTTGTAATTTCATGTGCAGCAGGAGGGAACCAAGCTGCCTGAGCACTGTCTTGATGTAAATTGGAAAAAGACCTTTGGGTTTGTGCATAAATTGTTGGCCCTAGAAACCATATAGGTGTTGCTCATAGGTTATGAATAGGGGACATCTGAACTTCAACGTCACAGTTTATGTTAAGAGGAGTTACACAGTCAAAAATCCATGCAAGTCAGCCATTATGCAGCAGTAAGAGTATAAGGCTCACTGCTAAATTATTTTACAAGTTTTAGCTCCAACTGATCCTAGATCCAGATGCTATAAGCTCCTAACGACCTTGATTATTTTTGAGAAACTTAAAACAGGCATCGGATCAGATAGAAATGAGCTTATAAAAAAAAATTGTCCTACAATACCTGGAGTGAAGATTCAATCTCTCACGGTGATGAGAACTTGTATTTTTTTTATTTCCTCTCAACAAGGGGGGATTGTATGAAACCGTGAACGAGGTCTACAAAATTGTCATCCCCATCTTGGAAGCGCATCGAGACTTCAGGAAGCTCACCTCTACTCACAGCAAACTGCAGAGAGCCTTTGACAGTATTATAAACAAGGTACCTGTGGGTGCTGCTTCTCATCCAGCAAGTCATGTTGCTGGGCTGCAATATTTGTTTATGAGCAATAAAGCCAGACATAGCAAATAGGTCTATTTCCTTCTTCTAATCCGAACCATCTGTTTCTGATTACATGTGATATGTTCTACAATTAAAAGACACAGAATAAACCAGAAAAAGTATGGAGACATGGGAGGGAATTCTAAATCACCTGTATAGAAAGGAAGTTTTTAAAAAACTTGAACTAGAGACAGTTAGGTTAAATAAAAATCACAAATCAAATTTAGGCCAAAAGATTGTATGGAGCTTTGCATTCAGTCATATGTGTTTTTAAAAAAAGTCACCCCATTTCCTTTCCCCTTCATATTACTACCATCTCAGGGTTTGGTTTGGTTTTTATGGAAGAATTATAGGAATTGATCCAAATTTGACCAAATAGGCTGGGCCCAGACAAGCGAGGACATTTGATTCCCCGCAGTCAGCTAGCAGCAGCACACCTTGTGCCACTGCTAGTTGTCGTTGGGGAACACTTGTATCCATGTGCACTCTGGCGCATGACTGGTTACCCTGCGTGGGGTAGGGGAAGCTGGGACCAGCACTGGGCTACCCCCAGCAGCCTTACCTGGGGTCCTGGGGACCTCCTTGGTCTGTAGCAATGGTGATCCTGACACTGTGAGCTTGGCTGGCAGCCGCAGTACAGCTCCAGCCAGCCAGGCTCTGGTTTTGAACAATGCATGTTGTCCACACATGTGCTGCTCTGCCTTTTCTTTTTTTTTTGCACTGGCGTTTTGACCACTGGATATCCAGTGGTCAAAAAACACCCTGGGCTGCTCCCATGCAGTGCAAAGAACAGCTGAATGTGCAGTATGTGGCACCTCAGATGTGTCTGCGGCGCCACACTGCATGTCTGTACTCATCTGGACATAGCCATAGTGTTTTTAAATATATATCTCCATGAATTCACAGTCCTAATAAGAGACCATCCTAGGCTATTTCAAATACTATGGTGATATTTAAGACCAAATTCTGCTCTGAAATCTGGGTGAGCAGGAAGTCAGTGCAGTTTCTCAACTCTAAATTAAGGTTAAATAAGACATCAAAATGGGATTATATTTATGAGAAGAAAAGCTAACTTTAATTTCTTTCTTTTTATCTTTATCAATCAGGGCCAAAAGCGAATGTTTGGAACTTACTTCCGCGTTGGTTTCTATGGATCCAAATTTGGGGACTTGGATGAACAGGAATTTGTTTATAAGGAGCCTGCAATTACCAAACTTCCTGAGATTTCTCACAGACTGGAGGTAAAAAAGATCATATTTCATAAAATTCCCTGCTTTGTGTCATGCTAAGAAAACTTTGCAATGAATAAAAAAGCCACAGCGCAGCAGCTATAGGAAGTACTAATATGTAGAAGTCTATTATAAATTGATTTGTGTCAGAGATTATTCTGGCTTTATGACTGTTAGTTTGGAACACAGCTCCCTTTTACATGAGGATGAGATGATGTCAGTTTTTCATTACCCTGACACCCTGTCACTTACATTGGGTAGAGTCTCTGTACGTATAAGGTATTCAATAATTCAAGTGTCTGAGTGTACCTAAATGGTGGGTTGAACTTCTTTGAACTTCTGCTTGGGGCAACAATAACAAATTATTCTTTTTGCTCTTAGCTGGAGCTCTGCCTTTTTCTTAGTCATTCACATGGGGAGGCATCTATAAGATGTATTAGGCTCTGCCAGTCTTAATCTTTAGTGCAATGTATTTTTTTTCCTGAGAAGCAGAGCTAATTTGCTTTGCATTTAAAAAAAAGTAAACACACCCCTGAATAATTCTGTTTTCTTTTCAGGGATTTTATGGTCAGTGCTTTGGGGAGGATGCGGTTGAAGTGATTAAAGACTCTGCTCCTGTAGACAAAAGGAAGCTGGATCCCAATAAGGTAAGGAATATATTAACCACAGCTGTATTAGGATAACTGGACAGAGAAACTGAAGAAAAGGAGTCAATGGAGACCTCTGTGTGAGAATTTCACATTAGGCTATGTGAATAAATGAGAAAGTGAGATACACAGGCCTTAAGAACACAAGATAGGATTGGACTTCTTGGTCTTGGAGAATAGTCCTCTACCATCATATAAACTCTTTTATAAACTGAATAAACTCTATCTGAAAAGTAGTTGGGAATTAAGCCACTGCTACTCTGTTGGAAGTTCTTCTACGACCTCACTCTCTGGTAGTAGAAACCTTTTAATTTTCAGCTTATGTTTATTCTTGGCCAATTTATGCCCCTTTGTTCTTATGCCAACATTGTCCTTTAACCTGAATATTTTTTCCTCCTTTGTATTTACGCACCTGCTATCACTAGGTATTTATGGACAACACTCATATCCTGTTGCAGCCTTTGATTTGTTAAACAAGTCAAACTCTTATATTCTCCTTTTATGTGATAGGCTGTCCATTCTGCATATCCTCGTAGTCCTCCTCTGCACTTGTTTCAATTTTAGTTAATCTTTCTTGAACATAAGTAAGCAAAATCCTATTCCAGATAGTGTCTTACCAGAACATTACAGTAGCAGTAATTCTTCCATTTCTACTGGTAATACTGCCTTATACCTCCTGAAATCGCATGTGCTTTTCTTTCATGGCTTCACCATGCTTGTGCCTCATACTCCCATAAATAACTAGGATAGGGGTGGGCAATTATTTTGGGTAGAGGGCCACTTAAGTTTTGATGAGCTGTCCAGGGCCACATAGTAGCCCCACCCCTGGACAGTTGCCTGGCCCCCCAGTTGCCATATTGGGACCGGAAGTCCTGCTTCAACTCCTGACCTTTGCCAATGGAAGTCAAACACTCCCCTTGCCCCCTGGAAATACTCCTTTTGGGAGGAGGGGTTGCCATCTTGGAGCCAGACAAAAAACAAATCGTACACTAAAAGTCAGACACCTACTATATCTTATTTAATTGTATTAGAAAAAATATTTGTCATGATTTGTGTTTGCATATAATATGTAGAGGTGATTGCATAATAACTTAAAAATAAAGTCTTACTCTTTTTTATATTGGGTGTGGGGTGTGGTTGGGGGTGTGTATGGTGGGGGGTGTGGTGGACTGGGGGGGTTGTAAGTGGGTGTGGGGGGGCCATAGAGTGTGTTGGGATGTGTGTATATGTGGTGAGGGGGGGTTGTGGGGGACAGGGTGTGGGTATGTGAGGTTTGTGGGTTGTGAGAGAAGGTGGAGGGTGGGGGGACCCTGCCACACACTCCCCCACATGGTGCGCAGCCCCCGCTACCAGCAGCAGAAGGTGGCAGGAGCACTTAGGGAGCTTGTGCCTGGTGCAGGTGCTGGCACCCAGTGGCATGCAGCTCCAGCCACTGCTGCACATGGGGGCAAGGAGTGTAGCCTGCCCAGCCCACCTCTATCGTGGGGGCTCCATATGGCACACCTGGAACTCCTACACTCATGCACCACCAGGGAAAGCCCTATGCTGCACCCAGCTTCATTCCCTACCCCATGCCACAGAGGTCCTGGGACTCTGTAGGAAAGCAAAAGGCAGGGCTCCCCTCCACTTCTGGTGGGGTCCCAGGAGCTGCACAGCAGGGGGGAAGAAGGCAGCTGGCTCTAGCATGGGGCTTCCCTTGGTGGCACGTGAGTGCAGGAGCTTCAGGCATGCTGTGCAGAGCCCCCACACTAGAGATGGGCCAGGCAGGCTGTGTTTCTCCACCCCCATGTATAGTGCTAGCACCAGCACCTGCGCCAGACACCAGCACCCTGAGTGCCCCTGCTAGCTGCTGCTGCTGGTGGTAGCACAGGCTGCACACCATATGGGGAGGGCAGTCCCCACACACTCCCCACCCTCCCTCACACCTACAACCAGCCCAGCTGAGCTCCACACTCCCACTGACCCCCTGGGAGCAGGGTCTGCACTGCCGCCAGCCGCAGCCCCCCACATGCCCTGCCCCAGGCCAGCTGCAGCTCGCCTCCGCCCCTGCCACTTCCCTACCTGCTGCCCAAAGTGAGCAGGACACTGGGGAAGCCAAGCAGGTCCCCCCAGTGGCTGCAGCAGCAGCAGCGCTGCCCAGAAGCTGCTGCTGGCTGGGCCGGGCCCTTCTGCCCATGAGGGTGGAAGCAATGTGGAACAGGGTATGTTGGGGAGGAGGGTGTATATGTGAGCACCTCACTCCTACTATTGTAAGTGGAAGGGCAGGGCAGGTTATAGTTCATAGGTGGGCACCCATGGGCCGGATGACAGTGCCTGGTGGGCCAAATGTGGCCCACGGGCTGTATTTTGCCCATCCCTAAACTAGGATGTCCAGGCCAGGGGTAGATCCAGAGAGGATGTGACAGTGCAGTTGTTCCCCACCTCACCTTTCACTGCTGTTACTGTGCTGATAGGGGCACAGGGCCCCTAGAACCCCAGAGCCACAGGCTGCAGCCATAAGGAGTGCTAGGCTTAGCAGGGGACAGCAGTATGCAGATTCCTCCTTCCCAGCCAGTGTGGAGACACCAGGGTGTGGAGTTCACTGGGAACAAGTGGGGAAGGAGTAGATCTGCCCTCCTTGCCCCCAGGTCAGCTGGGGCAACAGCAATGGTGGGGTGCGAGTCATCCCTTGGTGTGCCTGCTCCTTGCCTTTTACTGAACCGTGGATCTGCCCATTGTCCAGGCCTTTCTGTTTTTCTGTCCTTTCCAAATGATGAGCTCTCAGGTTATAACAAAAGTTTTTGCTGTCAGTCCCCTGGATCCATGACCTTGTGTTTTGAACTATTGAATTTCATTCCAACTTTATTACTCCAGTTCACAAGACCATACAGTTTCCTCAGTCTGATAATCCAGTTCTTCTGGTGTTGATGATGCCTCCTAGCTTTATGCCATCAGCCAATTTTGGCACATTCCTAGCCTTTGTGTCAAAGTCCTTAAGTATCATATGGCCATCCTTGAGGAACTCCATCAGTAATTTTCCTGTAGCCTGGTGCTTCCTCTTTCAATGGTAACTTTTTTTTTCCATCACTCCCTCAGCAAGTTCCTTACTACCTCAGTGGTGTTCTACTAGTTCCTATTGGTACTGTATCATATGCTTTACTGTTCCAGGCTATCTTTATTATGATGAACATACTAGGAAGGTAGTACTGGTTCAGAGCCTGAGGCAAAGGACTGAGAATCAAAAGCCCCGATCTCTTCCTTGATTTGCCACTGGTCTGCCAGCTCTGCTCCCCATAAGTAAAAGCATTAGCTTTGAGATCTAGGATGGAAGGTATCATGTAAAAGCTAATCGTGGGTGGGGAGGCGGAAGGGACTAATAGACACCTTTAGGAAGCAGTGAGATGGACAGGTTTTGTTTACCTGCTATGATGATTTCAAAGTCCATCGCAGCAGGTCCTATCACTGCAGCAGTAGGCTGGGACTTGGGAGCTCTAGGTTCATGCCCCTCATCTGTAACAGACTTCCTGTATGACCTTGGGCAAAGTCAGTTACCATCTCTGTGCCTTAAATGCATCTCCTGTCTGTAAAATGGAGATAGTCACACTTCCCTACATCGCAGAGGTATTCTGTAGACAGATAGACAAATATATTAAAGATTGTATGATCCCAGGCACTGTGGTGAACAGGGCATCAGAGTATTGAGGATAGAGAACAAGTGGTAGTCTCTGGGATAGACAGCACACTGACAATTTAGGACTAGTTAGATGAGGACCACTGAAGTCATCTAGAACAGGGTCTGCAGTGTATGATAGTGACAGAATACTGTAAGGGAGCAGGACTGATGCAGTGTTGGAAAAAGAGAGGTGGAAGGTGAAGTTTCTGGGTGAGGAGGTTCTTATAAATGTTAAGTCTTTGCAGCTGTGGTGGGGTCAAAGCGGCCCAACTACATGTGAGAGCAAAACAACAACATTGCCTTCTTACTCCTTTTAACTTGGTCTGAGCTCTGTAATATTTCATACTTTTCATGCATTTCACAGCCATTTGCCTTGCATTAAAACAATGATTCTTCTTCCTCCTCCCAGGCTTACATACAAATCACATTTGTGGAGCCTTATTTTGATGAATATGAGATGAAAGACAGGATAACTTACTTTGAGAAGAACTTCAACCTCCGGCGGTTCATGTACACCACACCTTTCACCCCAGATGGCCGCCCCCGTGGTGACCTGAGCGAGCAGTTCAAGAGGAATACCATCCTGACCACAATGCATGCTTTCCCCTACATTAAAACTAGGATCAATGTCATTCAAAAGGAAGAGGTAATGGACATCTTCGGGAAGGAGTGTGAGTTTGAGTTTGACCTGGTATCTCTGACTGGCAGGATTTGAAAGCATTGTAGGAAGGCAAAGCTTTCAGATTCTGTGCTACGTGTTAGGAGGTCTTCATCTATAGAAGTTCTGTAGATGGAAAGAATGAACCTCCTTGGCTAGTTGTTGGTAAAGTGTGTAACCTGCCTAGATGCTTACAGTTGTGACGGTATCTACAAGAGGTATTACAAGTAGCAGAAAAGAATCCTCCTTTTGTACAAGTATACCTCTCCACTGTTAAAGAGCAGTCAGTTTACTAAACCTGATTTAGAATTGGAATGAGGGAACTATTCAGCATGAAAGCATGTTTATAAAAAAATAGGGATTACTATGACAATTTCAGCTGTGACAACACCAGAAAGGCAGATATGGGCCTTACTCAAAGCCCACTGAATACTGCACTGGGCTCAGAATTGGAGATCAAATTTGGTTGGACTGACTGATATTTCAGGGTGTAATCCCTCCTGGTTCTGAGAGCACCCAAACCGCTGCCATTGCTGCAACAGAGAATAATGCATTTGTCTTTATATTTTATTAGTTTATTTTAACCCCAATTGAAGTTGCTATTGAAGACATGCAGAAGAAAACACTGGAACTAGCTGTTGCAACCAACCAGGAGCCACCAGATGCTAAAATGCTGCAGATGGTGCTGCAGGGTTCTGTTGGAGCGACTGTCAATCAGGTAAAGGAGATAGCTAAACAATGTCACTTCTGCAGAACCCTCTGCCTATTCTTCCTGGTGTGCTTTCATTTAACTGCTCTGATCTTGTTGCTTATACTTCCAATCAGACTGGGCATCCTCAGATCTTTTTAAACTTTGCCCATCAGAGCTAACTAGCCACTCAGCATGAACAACTAAGACCTCCACCCAAGCTTCATTTGAATTTTCAGATATACAAAAACATGGATTTTTTACCCTCCGTGTGTGTGTGTTGGGGGGGAGGCGTGTTTCCTAGTTCTGAGCAGGAATGCTAAACAGTAGGTGGTGGGCTATTTCCATGTTTCTGTCCCATCACAGAGCAAGAAGCCCTCTGTCTTTCATACAAGCCTGTTCCCATTAGATACCCAACTCAGTCTTGCACATACAGTAGATTCAGATAGGTCATCAAAGGTGTGGATATACATTTAAGCTTCTAGAAGATTATCCATAGCAAACTTAGTATGTCTAGAGAATTTTTCCTTTGATAATGTACTAATCCCATCGACTTTAGTCACCAAGGACTATGCCCAGGGAATAATAGAACTTTGCTATAAGGTCATCAGAAGACCAAAGCTCTTTGTATAAAATACATAAACTAGGAGAATACAACCACTCCCTCAGATACAGGTAAAGTTTACTATTATAATATGCACACCCTTTCACAAAAATCTACACTGTGAAGACAAAATAAGGCACTAGCCTTGCCTCAATAGTTTGTTTCCCCTGTATCAGGTTCCTTCATTTTTTCCAGATATTTTCTCAACCAAAACATCCACATGGAGTTCTTTATAATAATACACTGCTCACACCATGGAGAGTACATTCTATCCTTGCTCTGCCCTTATCTTCTGGTTTTTGTACTGCCACCCATCACTAAGTAGCTGTTCATCTTTCAAGCAAAACAGTTTGGTGAAAGGCAAGTTCCAGCTCCTTTCTCTGATAGAATGTATTCACTCTGCAATGAACAGGAGAGTTACTGGCAACTGGAGTGATAGATAAGACTAGAACAGAACAGAATAATATCGGCCTAAACTTTTGATTGGCAAAGAAAAGAGGGGAGAGGAAAATTTACAAGGATTAATGCTGCATGATCATAGTAAAGTTTTACAAGACTAGTATCCTACCATACTGCCAATACGTGCTGTTGGGTTTTTGTGTTTTCTGTTTCTATTTTATGTGACGTTAAACACACAACCTACCAAATCAAATCAGGTGTGCGCTTCCTTTTCCGTTAAAGCAGGAAATGTGCTTATGTAATATTTTATTGTGTTGTTCTTATAAGGGACCACTAGAGGTAGCTCAAGTGTTCCTGGCTGAAATACCAGCAGACCCAAAACTTTATCGACATCACAACAAGCTGAGGTTGTGCTTCAAAGAATTTATAAGGAGGTCAGTAAAAAGGACATCTTATTGGGGATCTGTTAACCAGGGTTGTTGAATTGTACCAATGTTAATAAAATTAATAATGCAAGTCAGTACAAAGTTACTTTTTGAAGGGAAATATATTGGCCAAATTTATCACTCGTGCAGGGAGGGGAAACCCTACTGAGTTTCATTTACATAAAGTATGAATATAATTCATTATCACTACTAGAATTTTTTTTATTATTTCTCTCATGTTTGCTTCATGTCTGAATGAATGGTAAACTCAATTCATGTGGGCAAAAAGATCAGCTATTTCTCACTTGTTTTCAACATCTCTGACTGGTGATTTATTGGAGATATACATGGGTTTGGCAACAAACAAAGCCTAATTTCAGCCTGTCAGGTTATTTAATGCAGATTTTTTTAAATTGTCAGAATTAACCAGTGTGGTTTTATCATTGTTTTGTGAACAGATGTGGTGAAGCAGTGGAGAAAAACAGACGCCTTATTACAGCAGACCAGCGGGAGTACCAGCAAGAACTCAAAAAGAATTATAACAAGCTGAAAGAGAACCTTAGGCCAATGATTGAGAGGAAAATCCCAGAGCTGTATAAACCTATAGTGAAAGTCCACAGTAAAACAAGGTATGACTCGGGCAATGGGTACTAGTGTGTTTATTGTGCAGAAATGATGCCTCTAATTATTAAACACTAAAAGACATTTTTCCACTGCTTCCACCAAAAAATTGGACAGTGTTAGTTATACAGCTCAAGGTGGTATTCCACAAGGCAGTTTCATCAATGTTACTTTTACAAAGTCAGTAAAAGTAGAATCCCTCATCCCAAAATAAACCTCAGTTTAGAACTGGGTTACTAAATAACATGACATCTCTTCATTATTTGAAGCCAGACTTAAATTAGAAAATGTGTTTCTAAGTGTCAGCGTGCAGTATTGTCCATCATGAAATAAGTGTGATCATATCAGGACTGCATGATCCAGATATTAAAAACTCTCATGCCTTGTACTTTTGAATGTGTGGTTTCCCCCAAGCCACCTACTTGTGTCAAGGACAGTAAGTCAAATATACTTTTCAGATATTTAAAATAGGCTACTCTTTGGCTAATAATTTTTCTAGTTATTGTTTGTCTGTTAGACCCAATAATTTCATTTCCAAGTTTTATTCATGATCTTTTTTTGTTTCTTTCTTTGTTTTCATTTCAGGGACTCTTTTCATAACTCTAGCTTTAGGAAATATGAAACTTCCCCTTCACAGAACAGCTAAGGACTGTCAGCTTCAGAAGAGGGAGTTCCAGGTTGCACAGAACCTGGAGGCTACTCAAATGCTGTGCAAACCTGGAAGTTCTTCTCATAGTACAGCATGCACACAATCTGGGCAGACTGCACTCAAAGCTAAGAAACTAGATATACAGGACAAACAGGAATGCAACTCATAGCACATGCCTCTGTCTCTCCTATGGGAGTGGGAGGAAGAGGAGCTGGACTTAGGCTGTTTCTATATTTAATGTTTCTGTATTTAAGTGTTCAGGGCACTGAGATGCCATTGAATAATGGACTTGTATGTACAGAAGGTGATAATCACTTTTAAGAGACTCAGAACTTTTTATCGTTTTAACTGTTATTTTGTAAGAACCAGCCCAATATACCTGACAGAATGTTACACATACATACCCCTATTCAGGATACCACTTCAGCATGGTTTCAGGGGGCTGGAGTGTATTCTAGCAGTTATGCACGTGCTCATATAAGGATAAACTTAAGCATGTGCATAAGTGCTTTACAGAACTAGAACCCTGGGAAAGACCTGTAAACTTAAAGCAGGCTTTCCTTGCTTGTGTTCCTCAGTTACAGCAAATTATGAAAATGCTAAAAGAACAGGGGCTGCTTTCCTTTCAAGTCTTCCTAGCTGAAACTTTAAAAGGCAAAAAGTAACAGTCATGAATTTCTGCCTAATTCGCCTACCTACAGAAATAGCTATTTAAAAATTGTTTTTGTGAAATGTTCTAATTGTTAGTGTCATGTTTTAGCAAAATTAACTGATACCTGTTTAAAAGGATAGAGCTAAAATGTTTAATGCTTTCTTAAGAGAACAGACCTTCCTGTAAAGAGAGATCCCTCTAAAGAGATTAGCCACAGGAGTGTACTGGGAAAATTTCCTATGATGTACTTTATCTGAGGTTTTAATGTACAATAACACTGTAATCAGTTTCTATATATTTATAAATACTTAATGCTTTTCATATTCATATGCCTGAGGAAACCTTAACTAATTTGGTCCTCACCATGTTTCTCTGAAGAAAGCAAGTACAGTAAAAGCTGTGTTTAACCAGCATTCTTCTAGCTGGAATACTCTATTAACTGGAATTTCCTGCCGGTCGGACATGGGGTGGGGGGAAGAAAGCTTATGCATGGTGGCCACCGCCGCCACCCACCACCTTGTGCTGCCACTGCTCTGCATGCAGCCACCGGCACCCATACACCGCCCCCACCCACTCCACAAGGGTTTTCAAAAAGGTTGAAAACCCCTGCCTCAGATAACTGGAATTTTTAGATACCCAACACCCCCCATTCACCACTCTAACACAGCTTTTACTGTAATATTGTTGCTATTTTACAGCTGGGGAAACAGAGACATGAAAGTTGCAGACAGAAGTGACAATTTTCACCCAACCTGGCCACAGAAAGCAGCTTATAGCTGAGAACAAACGCAAGTGCACAGCTGCAGACAGCTTCAAAAATGACCATTTGGGTGAAAATCTAACCCTTCCTTGCATGAAGTGTCAGATAAGGACGTTTCAAAATGTAAGGTCTTTTGTAACTTGTGTCTGCAGAGCTTCTAGCCTGTCACT